AAGGCACCTGCAGGAAACCTGGCCCAGGTGGTTTCAGTTTTACTTGCCAAAGCCACTTTTGGCTTTTGATTCTCAAATATAAATTCTAACTATTTGAAACCAAAAAAGATAATTACCTTCCAATTTGGCATCTGTGTAGTGTCCGGCAACCAGGTGGATAAGTAGGCTTGAGTTTGCATCTGCATGTGGGCAAATGATGGAGGGGAATGTGGAGAACTCTCCAGTGGCAGTGGCTTCCTCCGTGTCCCGAGGGGCCTTGGGGCATGCGGCCGGTGAGTGGGCAATGGCAGTGACCCCATTGTTCTGGACAGGGGTTTATGTGGGATGCCTCCGTGCCCCTTCCCTCTCCCTCTGCTTGCCTCCTTCTCCTCATTCCCGGAGGAGATTGCTGAAGGCCCCCGTGGCCCACAGTCCGAATCCCAGGAGACACGTGTGAAAGACAGCAGCTCTGCTGCCTCCTAACCAGGAAGGCCAGCCTCCCACCAGGAGAACTTTAATCCCTTGCCTGTGCCCCTCTGCCCTGCTGCTTCCTTGCCTGTCCCAGCCAGTCTGCAGGTTCTTGGGGCCTATTACTTGCCTCATCCTCTTTCCAGTACTAAATTCTCCACTAGTTGGAAGACTTTGGGTTTTGATGGACAGAAACTTCCTGGATAGAACCGGAGTTGACATAGGATGTTTGTTAAAAAGTTGCAGGGGCAGAGGGGACCAGGCAACTGCAGCCAGGATGTCGAGTCCTGCAGCAGAGCCTGGGCTGCCAGGAACCGCTCCAGAAGTATTGAGACCGGCTGGGGAGAGGACTGGGCCAGGGCTACACTGGGGACCCCCAGTGAAGCGCCTGCCTGGGGCAGCAGCCTCTAGACGGCACTAGACCACTGTGGCACTAGACTGGAAATGGCACGTCGGATAGCCAGGTCTCAATATGGGCATGGAGGAGATTTGTGCCAAAAAATTCAGTAATCAAGATAAATCATATTTTAAAAAATCAAAGTAAATGCAAGGAAATCCATGATGAACAAAATATCAAAAGTTTAAACAAAGATAGGTGATAGTGGTTGTTAGTTTTATGACCCTGCACTATTGTGCAATGGGATCCATTGTTTCCAACCCACCTAGGTTCTGGGGTAGGTTGGCTGTCCCCTGCTGTGTGGCTTTGTGAGGGTTGGCAATGTGTGAACAGATTGGGCAACTTGGAGCTTAATATATGGTCATGTTCTATAATCGTAGAACTTTTGTTAACCTTTTCCACTTGGTTCAAAGTATGGGAGGGTATCTTGATTAAGTGCATACAGGGGCTCACAGTTTTCCTGTCACCTCAGGCTCCAACAGGACGGCCCATGACATTGGTCTCAACCCTGGATTCCTTATACAGCTTGCATTTACATTTTGCAAGCTGTATGCTGCAAAATTTCCATGAAGTGGAAAGCATCCTCAAGTGAAAACAAAACTGTAGACCTTCCCTACCAGTGTCCCTACTTCTGTGGAACCTTTTTGTCATGTACAAATGCCCATTACACGGGCAGTCAGCAGTCTGAGGAAATTCTGAAACTGATTACAGCAGGCTAGTGGTCTTTGCCATAAATGAGTCATTTGTCTTGTTATTTGATTTTTAAATCTTTTAATACAGCTCCCAAGAAGAAGTCTGCTTTGGAAAAATCACCAAAGGAATTAGAAGAGAAAGAACAAGAAAAACCAGGAAAAGTAAAAGACATTTTTCCCAATTTTTAAAATTAAAATCCAGTAGCCTGCACAGTGAAAGTGAGTGAGTTACTCTGTCCACAGCTTTCTCTAACATAGTATCAGTTTCTCTCTACCTTCTCCCCTAAAAGGAGACTATCAAAGGGGGGGATTGAAAAGGGGTCTTGAGCCTCAGCTCAGGTGGGTGGGCAGCGCATACCAAGTCTCCATGCCAGGGAACCTTTGGGGACCTCTGATTTCCCATCAGTCTCAAGGAAGGAGGGTTGACCCTGCTTGACCCTCAATGGCCTCCTCAACCGTTCTGTTCTCCACGTCTCCTCCGGTTTCCGCCTCTTCTGAACTCAGCCTCTGGTTGACAGCTCTCCCAGGTGGCTGCCGAGGCCTGAAAATCAGGCCCCCTCTCCATTTCCCAGTGCCTGCCGGGATGACTGGGTGGGCTCAGGGGTCCCTGGGAGGGGTGGGTTTCCAGAGGCCTCTTAGAGTGTTCACCAATATCCCCTCAAATGCCTTGCCCTGCACAGAGGGATTCAGCTTAGGGATATGACAGGGCCACTGGGCTGTGGCAAATGAGGGGGGCAGGTGGGAGGGGCAGGAACACCTCACGCGGAAGACAGGCCTTAGCCCGGCGCCACCACGACTGTCCTGCCCTCAGGTCCCCTAAGCAGCTCTGCGGAGCGCCTTTCTCTGCCATCTTTTACGAGTCCCCCCTCGCCTCCCCTCCCAGCACAGCCAGTCTCCGGGAGGCACCAGTTCGTGGGCCCGGGAGGAGGCCAGGCGAGCGCTGACCGGGGCCCTGGGTGCTCGGCCCGCCCCGAGCGCCAGGCTCCAGGGTCGGAGGGCGCGGACTGGACAGGGGCCGCGGGCGCGGAGCTGTCCAGCACCCAAGGCGGGGCGCGCGC